GAGAGAAAGAGAGAGAGAAAGAGAGAGACAGAGAGAGAGATGTATATAATTGAGCAGTTTTTGAGAAAATAACCGATAACCGATTAAAAATTGCCTATTATTTAAACAATTTTTTCAAAAACAACTCATAGTTTTGAAAAATTGTACATGATCTTACTTCAAGATCAGTTTTTGTGGAACAGATTTTATTCCAGAAAAAATCTTTCTTCAATATTGTAGTTGTAGGAAGATGCTGAAAAAAATTTGAAGACAGTTTCAAAATATTCAAAGAATTCTTCAACCCTCAATCAACTCTATGACTTATTATTCTTACACGTCCTACACTTATTTTCTAACTGATTTTTCTCAGGATGAAAGAGAAGAATATTAACACAAGACAAAAATTATTTATATGACAAATTAAAACAAATGCAGTGACAATTCAAAATTTTGTGAAAGCTCAAGTGTAATATTTGCAAAATGTTGGTGGATGATGAACTAAAACTTACTTTCTTAAAACTATGGCATTTAAGGATGGTTTAATTTTAAATTGTTTAACAAAAATTTGGGCAACATAAATATAAAAGAAATATCTATAAGATAAACAAACTCTATCTAGTAATAAAGTTTTAAAACAAACAAGCCAATTTATATCCTAAAATCCATCTGTATTTTGTAATATTTTGTTCTTGAAAGAATCTATAAACCACATGAGAATGGAACTACTATTTCACTAAAAAGAAACGACCAACTTCTTTAATTTGTTGAAGACATTTATACCTTCGGTATAATGAATAAATAGATTTATTGTTGTCTAGGTATCATTAATTTATGAGAGGTTGATACCTTTTGTACAATAAATAAACAGGTTCAGTGTTTTCAAGTTATCTTATTCCATATCGTAATACTTAGGAGAAATTGGGAATAAATTCACGTAGAACAAAACACACAGATATTAAAAGAAATATCACCCCAACGCTATCACACTTCAGTGATCATCTCAAGTGAAACACTCATTTACCAAAAACACTAATTTCCATATTCTAGAAATTGAAAACAGATACTGCCACACATAAGTCAGAGATATTCATACACACAATTATCTCAATAATCATGATATACTTGAACTAAATCATCACATCCCTGACCTCTCTCTCTCTCTCTCTCACTTTTAAAATCAGCTTCATTTGTACTCTCCTAACCCGCATACTCCTCAACCTCCACTTTTAAGACTGCTTTATGTCTGTCCAGCCAGCTCTTTCACACACCCACCACTAGACGTTCCCACATGTTATGACTGCACAAGTTTGTGTCTCGTTTCAATTTTTAATTTAAAATTTTGTTTGTTGGTAAACATTTATTTGGTAGCATTTGTATCTATCTATACATTCTTTATAATTTCAGTCTTTAATTTTTTAAATTCAACTCTAATGATGATTGCTTCAGAATTGAAAAACTCTTAAACAAATAAAAGTAAGATACCTAAATAACACTGGTCTTCTTACTCAATACACATTCAATGAAATAACAGGTGGCAAGTATTAAATTTTTAATAGAATAAATGCAATACATAGAAATGCAAGCAACTTAGATGCAAGGCCATATTACAGCAACAAGCAGCATTTGGCCACAAGCATCATAAAGGAGTGTTTTACTCCGCAAACCTCTTCAGTGAACCAATAAATATTGTTTACTCATAGAATTGGAGATCTCACCATACAACAGTAACATACATAATAAATATATTCATAAATAGTGGACACATATGTGGAATATATATGAAGTGAGTAGTAAATGCGTTAACGCTTGGTACCAATTCACATTAAACAATTGCCATATATAGAGTAGGCTTCATAATATTGCACTGCATTCCACATTATCAAAGTAAACATCAATAAATTTTTTTCCTTATTATGCAACAGAAAAGAAGTCGAAGATAACGGTAGTGGTACCAGGCAACACTCTTGATTACACTTCACCACATTTCATGTAAAACAATGTAATATACACTTTTGTATTAAAATATTTGTGTATATGATACACAAAACGTGTCACAATGCTGTATGTTGAGTAATATGCTATATCCCCAATTGTTTCTATAAAGCAATGGACTCAAATTGCACAATTTTAAGCAGCCCCTTCACATTCAACAAGGAATGTAACAAATCTTATATTATAATCTTATACATTATACAAATTTAAAATACTTTTTATTAATAACACATATTTCGCAGTAAGCAATCAATTCTTTGCAAGAAAAGAGCAACTGACCTGAGAGGGGGAAAAGACAAACAGATTCAGAAAACCTTTTTGGAAAAAGCAGATTTTGTTTCTAATGACTGCTAATTATTTTGCCATCTTACAAAATTAGATGATAAACAATAAAAATTGGACACCTATTTTTCTGATAAAAAGAGAAGTAATGTTCACAACACTGTTCCCGGTTAGTGAATTTACATTTGCACTTCCAGGAAGATTTATTCACCAGAAACATGTTTTTCTTACTTCTCCACAAAGTTAGTGAGAACGTTGGTCAAGAAACAGTGCAACCATGCGAAAAAGCTTTGTAGTTGAACAAGCAACCTAAAGAACGAAAAATATTAAGAAATTTGCTTTCAACATTGTACCAACAATAGGGTTACCAGATGTCCTGCTTTTTGGGGACCCTGTCCTGCCTGTTCTGATTTTTGGAAATATTTAGCAGTGTATATATACAAGAGGAAGTTGTGAGTCAAGCTCAATGCTTCGGCCACCCTCACCCCAGGAGAGATCCTGGTACTAATTTGGAAAGAAGGCTGAGTCGCCCCAGAGCCGCCCCGAATGAAAAGCATTAGATAAAAATCCCAGCCTATGCCAGAATTTGAGCCTGGGTCACAAAATGTCCTGATTTTTCTCCCAAACCTCTGGCAACCCTAAAAATTAATAGAATTTTCCTGAAAATTGACATTTACAATGAAAAATAAATTACCATCCTTTCCCTCATCACAGTAAAAGCCAGCAAGTTTTTTCTTGCAATGGAATTTGTCACAAACCGCTAAAGGAACATCAAATTAGGAATTCCAGTGAAAACACTAGAAAACAAAATGCAGGAAAACATAAAATGCAAATGAAAAATGGAATACTAAAATTTCAGCCCAATGAAATGTTAAAAGAGAGTAAAAGTTCAAAAGGGAATTGAATAGAATCAAATGATTGAAGCAAAACAAGAGCATAAAATAGAAAAACAAAGAAGTCAAGAGGAAATACAAAAAATAACTTCAAAATAAAGAGAATTATAAAACAAAACCAAATCAAACCATAGTTGCTCAGAACAATTTATAAATTAGACTTGGACATATTATTAAGACTGATAAGCTATAGAAAATACAACTTTGGTATAAAATGGGCTATGCCTCATTGATTGGGTTTCTAGACTGTCTAGGAGGAAAATCCTCTAGTAAATAGTATGTAAAAAATAAATAATTAGAAACCCCTCCTCAAAAAGCAAACAAAGAAATAACACTATTTGATTTGCCTTGTCCACTGGTGCACAAAAACTATGTAATAAATCTATCATCAATTCCAGACTTGCACCATTACACACTTTTTAAATATTTATTTTTTATTGAATTGGAGTATAAAGGTAAATGTACTTTTGCAGAAAAAAGTACCAGTTCTTTCAGTTTGCACAAAAAAGTAGAAATTAGAAGTGTTCAAAGTGTTTGGTTCCGTTCCCCACAATATCATTTATTTACTTATTTATTTTATTAATTTATTATTTATTTGCTGAAAACTAATTTGTTTTATTATTGATTTGATTGAAATTCTTAGCATATGATATCTCACTACAGCAGAAAGCAGTAAAAAGAACTTCAGGGGAAACTGTAAAATATTTTTTTGTATCAATATATATTCACACAAATCATTTGAGAAAGTATTATAGTAAATAATTATGGTTCTGATATCACAATTTTCTGATTTAAAAAAACAACAAAATAACACAAACACATAAACATGCATATAATTAGCACTCTTGGCACATTGAAAACACTGCAAGGCCTGTTGTGGGATACTTAATTTTTTAAACAATCTTTTAACAATAGATTTACAATAACGCAACCTATCATTTACTATTACCATCATTATTATCATTATTATTATTATCATTATTATTATTATTATTATCATTATTGCAAGTACTGTTGTAGAATATACACAATACACACTGATGATGTAGAAATATTTAATTTCCCTTTGATGTCAAATCAGTGCAAATCACATCAAGGAAGTATAGTTTTTGAACTCACTTGTTCAGAAGGTTTTACTAAGTGACTACCAAATATATTATTATTATTAATAACAATAATAATAATAATAATAATAATAATAATATAACAGTAATAAAATAAAAATTAAAAAAATAAAATAAACAACAAAAAAACAGACTAAGTGTACACTGGGTATGTGCAGACTTCAGTAATTCAATACTAAGCAGTACACTGTAGAAAGATGCTTAGACATTGTTTAACAAATCAACATAACATACTGAAATTAACTTCTCCTTTCCACAACTGTTTCATTCTAACCAGCATTCCAAACATGGGCAAGAATGAAATCTTTACAATCTCTTTACAAAAGATTCCCATTATGTCTTAAACATGTTCAAAACAATTTCAAACAAAAGGTTCCTCAACTGCAAATAAACAATTTCCAGCATCTGTGTAAATCACAATGAGTTTCATTAAAGCAACGTCAATGGTTCAAAATGTCAATATCACCTTATAAACCTCACTTACCCAACAGCATTTGTTGACTTGCACTGATATTTAAATGCAGATGTGTCTATTGGCTAAAGACCACTTTCTTATTCCTATTAAAAATTAAATAAATATTACCTTACATTCTACTTAGTGGTCCCATCTATGAACTATGGGTGGTACATTTACTGAAATGAACTAGAAATTAATAAAATCTAAAACAAAGGGTTTGAGTGACAATCAATAATTGAAGAAAGTATTTCTCAAACTAACATTCAATATAAACAACACAGACCTATGTGGATGGAACTGATGTTCCCTTTGGGTGCTACATCCAAGTCACACATTAGGTGTTAATGTTAATATCTCATTAATTATATGAAACAACACTGTCACACTTCTAAACAAACTTCTTCTTGCCAAAATTATTTACACCTGAGCTCGCTCACAAGAGCCTCTAAAAATCTCCATATCCATACTTATCAAGTTTCCATCTAATATATATATATATATATATATTTATCTACTCAACACATTTTCTTATGTAACTATATCATTACTAACTGCTAATTTCATGAACAAGTTCATGGCAAAATATATGACATGATAAAATATAAAACAGTCATTTCTCATCCATGACCAACTATAATTCGCATTCTCTCGATTAGGTTTTATTAACCAAGCAAACAACTCTCTTTTCAAAGCACCAATATTCAAGTTTTCAGCCCAGTAATTTGATAGTTTGTTTCCTATCAGCACATTACATTTAATTACATACATGTATTTCATTATTACAGAACTTCCATTTTCCCCAACTGAGCTACCCCAACTCAGTAAAAGTTGACCACACAGCTAATATTATGAAACCAACAATACAAACAATTCAGTATCAAAATTTGTATCTCCAAGACAGAACATTCAAATTATTTTAAAAGAAATACGAGAGGCCATAAAAAGTATTCAACAAAAAAATCGAATTAACTATTTCAAATTTTGTTTACTTCAAATGCCATGAAATATCTTATTTTGTGCGACATTATTTGGCAAGTTTTTAATTTTTCAAAAATCACTTAATCACAAAAACAATGAATTATTCTTTTAATCAATATGTGACACCAGCATGTGTGTCTCTATGACCCAAATAATCAAAGAAAATACAAGATTCTCTCTTCAACAAAATAAATGAAATAATGAAGTAACCAGTTGGAAATTTGTTGTACAATTCAAACTAAAAAGGAAACTACCCTTTTCTGTTCCTCCAAAAGACGCATCTCAAAACACTTCAAATTCTTTGTTAGGAAGAGGGTTTCTTATATTGTAAAATCAAATTGTAAACATGCCAGCAGAAATTCAGATGGGAATGGCAAAGAAGTACATAAAAATGACTTTTAAAGCTGGTCAGACAGCAGAGATTCAAGTTACAATGTTCCACACAAGTTGAGATTTATGAAGATAAGAATACACAATCAATACATATACTCTTGTGCACGTAGTGGTGGTGGTGGTGGTGGTAGCAGCAGCAAAGAAGGCAGTATGAAGGGTTAAAGGATCATTAAATAAGCATTCTCCCACAACCCTCTGCAAAAAAATTATGGGTAATCATGCCTTTCACAATTTTTACTCGGGCATTCAAATCGAGCAAACACCATGCCTAACCAACAATGTACTACTACAAGCACTTTCAGAAAACAGTCCAGCATGCAATGAATAACATCAATGGAAAAAATCTGAAAGCAGCAGGTCAACATGCAGAGAACATACAAAAATTCTCTATCTCTTGCAGTGTTGTAGAAGACTCATCTCTAAACAAATCTTTTTCACATTAAATTGTCTTTATATCGAATGGCTAACCTCAAGTTCTCAGGCTTTTACCAAACCCAATAAATGTATTTTTACAGGTTTCAAACTGGCTGAAAAATCCTATACCAGTAACTTAGGTAGTTTTTTTAACTCTACAGAATTGTTTCCCCCTTGCTCCATTTCATATAGAGCCATGCTTAGACCCTCGTTTGAAAAATATTTCATTTTTAATTAAAACAGAATAAACCAAGTTCAAATCATTTCCCATAAAGTGAATAAGCATAATTAGATAAACTAGCAATGGAATATGTATTTAATTAACACATAATACTAAGTGCATTATAAACCATGTTCATGTTAAAATTCATAGCAAGAGCCAATAATGTAATTTCAAGGAAATAAAAACAAGAAATCACTGTTACACTATCTTCTGAGTTACACTTGGTGAAATAATGCAAAGTGTAATGCAGTATATATTTAAAAAACTTGAAATTGGCAGGCACAACTTTCAGTTAAAATATTTTGCACTTGACACAAATAATAACTGAAAGACTCCAGCATAAAAGATAATAAATCTCAAATTTTTTCTTGAAATAATTATTTTTTGCCCCTTCTATCTGCTGTCCATGCAAGGCGATGTTTAAATAGTTAATTTATGACTCTGTTGTCATATTTATGTAAATTAAAGCGTTGAAGTCCTTAAAACTAAATGTCCTCTTGCTTGCATATCTGCAAAGCTTTTCATGTACGTTAGCGTGTTTTTCACTCTTATCCTTTAATTAGTAAAAGAGTGTTCAAATACATTCAAACTTCAACAGTGAATTGTTCTCTAATTTTTCCATTTCACTCGCATATAATAGCTTTAAAAGAATCTTCATCATATAATCCACGGCAGCATGCATAAAACCCACCAAAATGGTGAATTTATTTCTTAAATCTACACACACAGTATTACAGACAATAATTGCACCTGTGACTACTGACCATTACTTGCAACAAATTATTAGAATGCATTTGTTACAAGAATAGAATATTAGATGGATCATGCATGAAAAAAAACAAAAACATTTATTTCCTCTCTCTCTCTCTCTCTCTCAAGCAAAGTTCTTTGAAAACTTTAGATATTGAAAACTGCCATTTATAAAAATAGGAATATATCTACTATTCAAAACCCCACTCATTGTTATGTATGCTAAATAGCACACGCAATTATCGATAAACATGTGTATCTACAATTCAAGGCATCTGAGTCAAGTAGTTAAAGGCACTTTCAATCAAATTGATGTGGCCAGAGGAGTAAAAAAAGATAATCCATATGATTTTAATACTACATCGTAGTTCTTTTACATTTACCTACAGGAATCAAACCAATTAGAAATCATTACATACGTATTTTCTATGAGTCTAAAGACCAATAAGGAACAAGTTCCTACAACTTCAAGATATTTTCAAAAAGTGGCATACTAATTTCTTAAAATAAATTCCTTGAATTGATAGAGTAGATTAATGCAATTTACCATTTGTAAACTCAGAAACAAAGTTTCAAAACTTGTATACTTTGTGAATATAATATTTGGGGAAGAGAGAAGAAATAAATCAAGGCACATCTCATCATTCCCTGTTATCAAATATACTTGTTTGACAATTAATGACAGATTTGACAATCTCTCTATAACTCAGGTTGAAATAACTAGATCAGAAGTAAATCATATATCAGAACCTGCTGCAAACCTGAACAAACATGTGAAAAAGAAAAAAAAAAACAATTTTGATGAAATGATATAGGATAGCACAGAAAACTGGGAAGTGCACTCACTCACAACAAAAGAGACAATTTGTACATTTCATCTTGTGACCTCAACAATTAAGCATACATAATAGAATAAAATGTAGTTCTTTACATTGTAATTGATAATTTCTTCGCTGAAGTGAAGAATCAATCAATGTTATTTATTTTAACAAGAAAACAATTCAGTTTGTTTTATTGGAGCACATTTCCTCACAAAAAAATTTGTAATTCACCAAACATGAATATGAATATTCAAGACTTTAATGAAATTTTACAGTGTGTGATGCTGGTGTCACAAAAACACAAGAATGATCTTCAAGTTACAAAATTCACGTATCATTGTAACAATAGGCCTCGCACACTTCACACGCAAGCAACAAGCGATTTATGTAAAATATATTACTGGTTCACAAACTTTGCAATTGAGATTTGTTATATTTTACAGCTGCATAATTAAGGACTTAGCATAGTTATAAACCAAATGCACATGTTGCCCAGGATGCAGGGTTGATGATTCACCAAGCAGCAGGCAATTTAGCAGCAATTCCAAGTCAGCAGGAACCTGAATCCAAGAACACAGACATCAGTAGGGAGAAGATTTTCAAGTGAATGCAAATTACCTGCATCTATTTTTTATTTTTCCCCTTTCAGAGTTTAGATGACATTCCAAGTAAATTAGAGTCATTTTTACTTCACATTTTTTACATTATATATTTACATATTACATTATATTATTTACATATTTTATATTTATTTATTTCACATCTATGAGGTACAGTCTGAAGATTTGGAAGATTGTGACATATTAGCAACTTGCTTTCTGGAATCTCAGATCTTTTAAATAAGAAATGTAGTAATGTCTTGCAAATAAAAATTGATATTAATAAGAAATTATCCAAATAACTTTTGTCCAAGGAGGTTGGAAATATCATAGATTAGAGGGCATTCTAAAGCTCTACCAAGCTGGTCAGAAGAAATATTTAAGATAGCATCACTTTCACAGTAAACACATTCCTTTAATGAGAGGGTTCAGTGAAACAGTTTGTAAGTAATATTGAATTACCTCGTTTATTTACAACAAATCCCTTTCTCTGCATTTGTTTCATATGGCACAACACAAATGTTCCTGTGATATACATTTATTTATTATTTATTTAATTATTTACACTCAATATTGTTCCAACACACATTATTCATTTGATGGTAAATTTCAATTCCACTAGCAACAGGTGCCAGCAAAAATTGAAATTCTTTGATCTTGCTTGGAGAAATCCATTTCACCATCACTAACATAAGCTACCACTACTTCAGAAAAATATGGAATGGCAAAATTCTAATATATATGACAAGAATACATAACAAATACGGAACGTACTAAGTAATATCAAAATATGCTCTAATCTGTAGAACATTAATAAACTTCACAAAATCTCATGTTACATTAATAAAGTATTTATTAAACCAATTTTAAAAATAAATATTGCTTGTCCTATTGAATTAAATTTTCTTAAGAGTAGATTTTAATTATTGAGAACAATGTTGGCGATCGTACAAACATACAAGCTGTGTCTGGAAAACAATCACTGAAGCATTGGCTTCATAGTGTTACATGTTTGTGAGAAATAATATTTCTCAAAACTTGAGATTAAAGATCAAGAGACACATGTCTTATCGCTGACACTTTCCACACCTAAAGATAATATTTTGCGCGCACGCGCACACGTCAACATCTGACCGCATTTTCTCGAAGTGCCCCTTGCACCTTCTGCACGCAATTTTGAATATGTTAACGAAAAGAAATTGTTGATTTTTTAAATAAAAAAAACTATTTTTAAAATTTATTAAATTTTATTTGTGCTATGAAGTTTGATTAAATTGGTATAATAATAAAAAGTTTTGCAAAATATGTTCTATAATGCAAAACAGGTAAAAGTATGTAACAAAAAATTTGGATAATGAGTTAGAATTGTTCTGATTCACCAATTGTTCCGAGAATTAAACATAGAAAGACAAAAAAGTAATTACATAAAAATCAGCTTTTGTCTCAGTGAATCACATTGGTTTTATGGCACTTTCTGGTTCTGATATTCACCTACAATAGTAATTTGAATCTTCTCTAGACAAACGTTAGTTGAACTATCCCACTTGTGAAATGAAAACCACCTTGATTTTATATGTATAGTAAAACACATGAAATATCTCTAAAGTTTATCGCTTTTCTATCAGATTTTTCTTACTGCTTCTACCTACATAAACTGTGACGCTTTTATCTTAGGAAGCATTATACATCGATTGCTATGTCAATGTCCAATAAACAGTGAATGAACAGCAACATAAACCTCTAATTTTAAAATATGTTTTCAGTTATTTTCAATATTTGGCGCATTTTGCAACTCTGTTGGACATAATTTCACTTGTGGTATGGTCCTATTATATACCAATCATGCTTTGGAAATTCTCAGAAAAAAATTTCCTCCTCGCTTTGCGAGTCAGGAAGTCATTGACAATTTTCAAAGCACTCGAGGTATAACCTATGACAATTTCTTATCAATATCAATTTTTACTTGGAAATTATATCTACATTTCTTGTTTAAAAGATCACCAAGAGCCCAAAAAGAAGTTGCTGAATTGTGACAATTTTGCAAATCTTCAGGCTGAACCTAATAGATGCCTAACCCTATACATTTCTGAATTTCGAAAATCTTTTGGTAGTTATATGTCAATTGTCATGTGTCAAAATTTTTATACTTTCTCAGAGAGTATAGTACTACTATAAAAAAGGAAATATTATTTCTCTCTTTACGAATTTGTGCATTCTTCAGCCCGGTCAACATCCTTCAGTGTCTACCATTGGTGATCTGCAGTATTTTGGTATGTCAAGCATTGGTAGATTACTAGTGGCAATCTACAATGTTCAGAAAATTAAACTTCTAACAGTTTTGTAAAAAAATTTGTAAATTTCATGAAACAAGATAAAATTATTTTCCTTAAAGGAGTCAACTTATTGTGCTTTCACACTACTGAAACATAAGAATACAAATAAACATACTATTTGAAAATTCTGGGGTCTAGAAAATCTACTTATGTAGAAATGGATTAAAAAATGTCATTATAGGACTAAACTAAGTGACATTCTCCACATCATATAACATAATCTTACCCAATACACATTTTAAATTTAATTTGGTTTTGAAACTTCAATTATTTGGTGACCTACATAAACTGAAATAGAGTAATATCCACCAAGGAATTATTAGATCAGAGAAAGCCAACTTGATTTGTAACATACATAGTTCCTTTTAATGTTAACCGCAAAGCATCATACCTCATTACACCAACTCATTTCATAAACAATGTATTAATCAGCAAACTGTAAGTTCATGACAGATTCCAGCATTTGCAGAAGCAATAGGATGGATCTACTGGTCAAGGAAACTGATCAACACAAGATTGATGGCAAATTACATTGGGAGAGTTGCGTTATTTTATTTTGTAGGGTAGAAGCACTGCATTGTACTGTATTCAAAACACAAGTTTTGCAATTCAGCATAGCATCGCAGGTAAATGGCACAACATCAGAGTACTTGTGATAGTGTGGAAGTGTATTAGATCTTCAAAATTTTCATGCAAAGTGTCTCAGAACTTACTTCCTCAGCAGCCAATATGGTCAAACGTTACTAGTGTATAGCTACTGCTTGCAAGAGGTCAGCAAAACCAGGGGTATGTCAACCTAAAGGGGTGTTTGTCCCGTAAGTGTAGTGCATGCGGTTGCTCGGAGGTGGCAGTGATCTTTCCCCCACACTATGGCAAGATCCGTGACCAACCAACTGTCAATTAGCAGGGTTTTCCACAACCACGTAACTCCCACCGCACCAGCTGGGACAAGCTGTAAGCTCCCAACCTGTCTCCCAGCATGTATGGTAGTGTAGTGCATGTTAGTGTAAGTGTAAGTGTGTGTGTGTGTATGTGTGTGTGTGTGTGTGTGTGTGTGTGTGTGTGTAAGTGTGTGAGTGTGTGAGCAAGGGGTGAGGATAGGGCAAGCACGAGGAAGGCGAGACCACATGCGGTCCATGGCCCATTTGTTTGGGTACTGCACCGGCATTCGCCTGGTATTGATAGAAGAAACCATGGAAACCTACCAATTAGTGCAGTCAGCTACTAGAATTCACCTCCAGACGGGGACTGAATTCGACCTAGCTAAGAAGCTTGTGTCGAAAATCCTGTCACCGTTGGGACTCTAACCTAGACCTTCCGATCAGAGGGACTGTAGTGACATCAGTTGATGCCTTGAGCATCTTCCCTGGTTCAATGATTCAAAAAACAAATTTGCAACACTAATGAATGTTAAGGATTTTCAGGCAAGTACTGGCTGTCTGTTTCAGTTTTGTGAGAGACATGGTGTAACTTGGATGACTGCTGAGAAGATAAAGATGCTGACATGAACACTGTTCAAGAACAGAGGGAACATCATCTGAAAAATGTAATAAAAACATATGATCCTAAAGATATTTTCAATGCAGATGAAATATCATTTCTTTTAATCATATGTTGTCGAAGAAAACAATGTCATGCAAGGAAGAGAAGCATGAAGGTGGAACATAATCAAAAGAAATATTAACAGCATTATTTTTTGTAATGCCACTGTTACTGGAAAATTTAAGCCTATGACTAAGACATTCCATAAAGCCTACATGTTTCAAAGGTGTGGCTTCTCTGCCAGTAAAATAAACAGCCAACAAGAAAGCATGGATGATCAAAGAACTTTTTGGAGACTGGCTTCTCGAGTTGGGTAAAGATATCTGAAAATGGAAAAGAAAAATCCTGTTGTAGATAAATAATCGCTCTACTCATAAACTGCTGGTTGGAAAATATCAACATTATTTCCTCCCAACTGCACTGCTATACTGCAGCCACTAGACCAGGAAATAATTCATAACGCAAAGGTCTACTTTCAGAAACAACTGGTTCAGTAGATTCTAATTAAACTTACATCGCAAGTTTCAACCAAAATCAACATCCTACAAGGGTTACAAATGTTAGCAGGGTTTGGTGGAAGGTGAAAGCAACAATTGCCAATTGTTTGAGAAAGTCAGGAATATTGAACTTCCAATACAGTGCTTCCCCAGTGGTTGAGGCTTGTGAAGATCATTATGATGTCAAGGAACAAATCGCAAAGGAGTTGAAACTTCCATCATCTGTAACATTTGATGCTTATGTCAATATAGATGCTGGGAATGAAACACGTTACTGTCTCACAGAGACATTGTTGAATCTTTGACTACATCACAAGAAAATAATGAAGAGAAGGAAGAAGTAGAAGAAAAATAAAAGATTGAAAGAGTGTCTTCAACAGAGGCACTGAAGTGTCTTGAGAAGTTAAAAGTATATGTTCAGAAAAATATAAAGGTCCCTGAGATAGTTCTCAAATCATAATTTGAGGTGGAACAGTTTGTGGAAAGCAACTTGCTCAAAAACAAGAAATAAACTTCCATCAGAGAATATTTTAATGGGTAATAAGTATGTTTTTCATAATTTTTGTTTATTGGGCAACTATTTAAAATAAATTAGTTTATCGGTCACATACTTTACACCGGTCACACGTCTTTAAACTCTTAACATACAACCCCACAGATTTTCGAAGTGCACTTGCCCCTACCAGTATGTTAAGAAATTTAGCTCTCTTAGGTACATAAATAAAAAACCATCGGTTCGTTGAAAGTTGCAAGTTTATTAAGAAAAAACACTGGCAATAGTTTTGTACAATGCATATTAGTTTTGGGGATAATTATTGTTAATTGTCATTAATAGTGCAATTAAGAAATGTGTATTAGGTAAATTTACATCATTTTCCCGGCATTTCACCAAATGAAACTCTTCTCCAATAAGCATATTTAATGACGATCTGAAGGTTTCGCCACTTTAAGTCAATGCATCAACTTCCTCACCGAATGTCATTTCTTTAAGTACCGTTAGGTTCAGGAGAATTATTTGCATCCATCTTTACTCAAATCATGAATATTGTTTAAATATGTATATCACAAGCAACACCCCACCTTACCATAGTAACATGCCACAGCATCAGAATTCATTTGTTTACTATCACAGTAACGTTGTAAATTTTCGCATTAATCGTGAGATTATATGGTGCTGATAAAATTTTGAACATAGCACAAAATGTTACAGCGTTATTACTGCTGTGTCCAAATTAATGTCTCTATGAATGTTAATAGCTATAAAATAGTGTTTTCAATATAAAGTACTTTCCAGTATTAAGTACAAATAAAACACTTTTATGATTTACTTTATACCGAGACTCCATTGTAACATCACCAAGCCACTGTACCTCACAATTTGTGCAGCAAAATCATTGATACTTGCATTTGTATACCATCCGAACTCCAGTAAATTTTCCACTGATTCCCTCATGAATACTATACACTATCTTCCTCTTCAAGCTATCAACCTCTAGTGCAACACCTCCATCTTTACTCACAAAGGGGTTGATGTACTCTTATCCATGCTTTCCTCACAATTTCATCTTTACTGTGTTTTCACGATTATTTCATGGCAACAGTAAATGGACGAAATGAAATAGAAACTGGATTGTCAGTTGGACTTTATAAAGAGAGAAATGATTGAAAATGGGGTCGACTGTATCTTACACAATTAGAATTTAACTTTAAACGTAATGGAATACGTGTTTTATGCAATGTATACTGAAACACTAACACATAAGTATCCTAAGTTTTAAAAATCTACTAAAATTCAAAACATTCTCTGAAATATAAACAAAAATCAATCAATTCAAAAATAGAGACACTAGTGCAACAGGAATAATAAAACTGGAATAGCAGCAGCAGTAAAGACAACTGCAACACAGACAGCAGCAGTTGCTGCCAGGGTGCAAATTGGCAATTTCTCCAATGGGGCACGTTCAAAATTTCAAGGAGCGATTGAAGAATAGAGAATGAAACAAACACCATCTTTGCTTACGTAACACAATTTTAATGAGTCCTAATAATGATCTTGAGAATGTTTTCTTGTCCAATTTTTGTCATTTGGATTCCTTCATTTAAATGCTTTAGTGGGTGGGAATTACAAATAGAGCACCTAATACAGATTTAACTGTATCCCTGGCAAGGAGACTTTAATATCTCTCCAGTAGGGGACATCCAACTCTCCAGGGAAGGGGGGGAGATAATCCTCATCAATTTGCGCTCTGGTTGCTGCGACAGCTATTGCAACAATCATAACACAAGAATGTCACTGTGCAACAATGTAATGTTGTACAATTAATCTGAATGTTTTACCAATTGCGTTAGCACTCACCTATTCAGAAGCCATGGAAGTGGAGCATATGCTCTCTCCCACGCTCTTGGACGCACAAGTTCGATGATGTAAGCTTGATCCAATGGACATATCTTGAGGATTTATTATGGCCGTGTGGGACTCCCTTTCAAGTTCTAACATGTAGGTTGCAGAACAACTGTCTCCCATACAAGTTTCAGGTGTTAATGTAGATACACTTACTTCTTCAGCAATTGCAATACCCTCAGGATTAGAAATGACATCAACAGATTTTGATATTTGGATAATTTCATTGTGAGGTGTATCATCAGATGAAAAGCTTGTGATAACCGAGTGCATGTGGGGTGATACAGTGTCTGTACATGATGATGCATTAGTCACTACTCCTGATGTGCTGCCCCCACTGGTACCAATTTCTGAAACCCCACTGGAATCAGATTCATCTGCTTCTTGAGGTGAGTTCTCTGAATCAGGACCAAATTCAATGTTTTTCTTAAGAAGTGAGTCAGCATGTACTAGGGCAAGAGATCCAATAAGAGCAACTAAGGTGCGGTCCAACCAAGTCACAGGGTTAGGATAGACAAGCCCTCCTTCATAAAAGCCCAAATGACCACCATGAGCTAGTTCCAGGTACAAGACATGGCTACTGTTGCCTGTGAAATGAGAAAATATGCAGTGGTAAACAATTAGAAACAAAATCCAGAATCAAAAATTTGAAAGTAATTCTAAACCAATGATATGCAATATTAAGTACTACAAATTTAATTGGATTTTTACAAAATTTGATGTTCATGTTTTTCAGTAATAGATGTAGTTTTATGAGCTTTAAATGTGCAAAATTGTTTCCAAGCAATTGAATGATCTCCCACCCCTACATTTACATTCTCTCAACTCTGCAGGAAGATACTTCTTTCATGATGCACAAGAGTCACTGCTTTACAATTTAAGTCAGTCCTCCTCATTTCTTTCTGTGCATTATGGTAATGCTGTACACATGGTATTCATAAAAATTAAAGTCACATTTGTATTTATGGCTAAACACACATAACAAAACAGTGAGCTAGTTGTTCAGTGAAACCTGACATTTAGAGCAATTTATTTCCTACATTGTCTAATTGCGCCTAATCTAGGTCTCTTCAATTTACTATGACACATTTTTAACAAAATACCACTATAGATATTACACTTCAAAACAAAATATAAACAAATATAAACTTACAAGCGAATTCCTTAATTGGTTGTAGGAGTGGCTCTGGAACCAGTGGGTCGTCACGTGCATTGACAAAGATCATAGGCTTGCGAATAAACTTCAGATAGTTGAGCGAACTGCTCCACCGGTAGAGTTCAGTCACAGATGTAAAACAGTGGACCTTCCTAAATAGGTATGCAGAAAGCAGCATTGATTTCTTAAAATTGCTACACAGGACAATAAAAAATACATGAAATAATTGCACTGCAATATAGTTTTTCCTAAATTTGTTTCTTTGCATCATGGTGTGTCAAAAATTGAAAAAAAATCATCTTTGTATGTAGTGTACTGCTTATGTATTGGCAATAAGAGAATATCAGGTTTTATGTTTCTCAGGGAAGAATCATCATAAAAAGGCAATATCATAGTATAATAGGAAAGAGAGAAAAAATAATCACAAAAGTAACTAATAGAGAACATTTTTAAAAAATTGCTAAAATCATTAAACGTTTAACTAAATGCATGATTTTACGATAGTGAGAAATGTCAATTGCTGTTATAAAATTTAACAACACACAGTATCATCATGCTTTTTTATTTAGTTCACACACAATGTACCCACTACCATTCTCAGTGTACATTATAAACAATTTTCACGAATTGAGTCACGACAGCACAAATATCACATTTTAAATTATCTTCAGTCAACTAATTTTGTAGTAATTTCTAATTTGACAACAACAACCTATCAGTCACACTCATCTTTCAACTCAAAAACAAAATAGAATTACAAATTGTTAAAAGTGAGCAATAATTAAAAATAATTTAGTAATAGTAATATTTAAAAATTAAATGCTCAGATAGCAATATCCAAAAATGCAGTTTTCCCTAAATTACTTATGAGCATAAAAATTGGCACAATTTCTATGTAATACTTTGAACTAGTTAATAACAAATAGTATTACAAATAAAAACTACAGCAATTTCATTTTACAAATAAAAACAAAATGTTGTTTCTGAGCACTAGTGAAAAAATAATTTTGTACTATTTTCGTAATTAATTTATGTAGTGTTATCATGGGGGCAAACTTCATTATCACATTATTTAAAAATTACTAGAAAACAGAATACAAGAAAACAAAACATGTAAACTGGCCTGAATAGCAACAGTTAGTTAAAAGTTGAGCACTGAGAAGTTGGGAAATTAGTAGAAATTCATGTCAATAATATTGAGATGTTAAAACATTAATTGAAGGGGAAAAAAAGTAAAAAAAAAAACATTCCAAAGCCTCTTAGAACTGATAGTCTGAAGAGATGTTAAATTAATGAACTCAAGTAAATTATTCTCTTGTGAAAATGAAACCTAATACAATTCCTGCAATCATTAGACATTCAACATTATTTTTCTTTCATGAAATTAATACTATGGCAACTGGATTTATTTCGATAATTGTAAAGGTATATTTTAAAATGAAATAGGTTGTGGGTTTTTTCTTTCTTTCTTTCTTTTTTTTCTTTTCTTTTCTTATTTTTTTTCTTAGCATTATCTAACATATTAAAATTGAATTACATTCAAGTTGATGTTTCACACAAACTTTAAACATCTCCTCAATGAACACTGAGATTAAATTTTTTAAATCTTATTTCACGAAGCAAAAAAATTAAAGCAAATTCAATTTTAGTCAAGTAATTTTGAAAACACTTACCCCAGGGTTATTCTTCCTCCTCCTTATCTAATAAACAATGGAACCTCAAAAGCTAATATTAGTATTGTATACATTTAAAGACAGAATACTGAGGTCACTTTTATGACAAGACAACTCAAATAAAAGTTCTACAAATAACTAAAAAGTAATCATTTTTTGTCTAGGTATGGGACATTTTTAATGAAGTGTCTGTGTATGTGAGGTGTTCACAGGGTAATCCCACAAAGGTGTCCAATTCCATGTGGGGAAAATTGCAAAACATTGTGGTAGGACAAGCACAAATACTCATGTCTTACCCCAGACTCGAACAGAGAACCTTCAGCAAATGAAGATGGCTAGCTAGCCACTAACACCACAATGTTTGGTAATTACTATTGTGGCTACAACAAACACCAATGTGTTTGTAATTATCAGTACAAAAACAGTAATTTCAAACTTGAGAATACAAACAATTAAGTAAACAGCAAAACGTTTTACCTGGTGTAAGCTTCATCTAATTCTGGGAGAGTAGCAGCAGCAATAATCTCATGTTCATTCAATTTAAATCTTTCCTTGGCCTCTTCACTTAATAATGCATGTCGATGCCTTTAAAGGACAAATCAAAGACTTTCGTGAACAAGCATTACATTTGTATAATACACCAAAACTAATTAAAACATTCTCTGTTTTTCAATATAAAACTATTTCCAATCTTAAGTGTTTTTTGTAACTGAATAATACATTAATAAATGATTTGTTAAAGTACATGAGAAGCAGATGTTATGTAGTTGAAATCATGAAACAAGCAACCACGAGAAACAGGTGAGAAGAAACATCAACAACAAAAATCATCATGTTCTTCACTTCAATTCTTTCACTTGATCCTTTTAATTTCTGCAAGTTTAATTTGTAAAGGAGTAAATTCATCTATTATTCAAGAACAACTACATACAAACTGGTACAAGCAGACTAAAATTGTTTTTTCCAACCTGTGTGGATTCTCTACCACATTCATGTATAATTTTCAAACCCCTGTTTATTTATTCTTTTATCAACATACCTTAAGATGATAGTCTTCATACTTTCAGTCATTACATAAAGATAGAATCGACGGAAGTTCTGCCAATTCAATAGCCACTTGGTACTTTCAATAGCACAATATCCTTGACAGATGGAAATACCACCAATTATGTGAGGAATGGGCTTGCGGTCAGGTTCACCCAGATATTTGGTAATGATATTTCCTCCAAGACTAAAACCAACACACACAACACGGGTGTTGGAATGTCTCTCCAATATGTGTTGTATCATCTCATGAAAATCTTGAGTATGACCTGGTAGAAAAAAATTGGGAAGTTGTCAATAAAAATATAACTGCAAATTTGTCTTAAGACACACTAGGGCTTATTCCTGAAGATGAAATCTTTTATCCAGGTGAGTAAGCTGATGTGTCATGAAAACTTAATTTTTCAGGAGACCAAAAAACCAACTTTCAATTGAAGTAAATTAGGGATTAATGATATTCAAACAAAGGTGACATTCAAACAAAATGATTTGTGAATAGGTTTTGCTGTAATCCCTGATTTACAGCATCAGTTCAAAGTTGTTTTATTGCTCTCCTGCAAAATTAAATTTTCATGATTTTTGCATTCTCAATGCAAAAATCCTAAAAGCAATATCCTAATCAGAAATGATTTTTTTGATCTTTAGTAGAACCTTTCAAACATATGAATAAGGAAATGAACTACCCATACAAAGTTACCCTATCCTCGACAACTGTATAAATTAGTGGTCATAAAACAGCACATAATTGGTATCCTGCAAAAGAATTTCCAACCAACAATTTTTTTTTTTTGTTTTTTTTTTTTTTGTTTTACACCGAGTATTGAACATAGATCCTTGGAGTCAACAAGCCAATTTTGTTACCACTACATCCATGGCTAAACTCAGCTTTCCTGACACTTAAAGAAATGATTCCTTTCAAATATACTAATAAAGCAACAAGGCTGACAAGGCTGTAACTCTGCGAACTAGTGGTACTACAACAGCACATACTTACTAGCATTATTTGTAATGGCTTCCCAGTATTATAACTACTAATCGAACCTGCAAAATCATTTCCAACCAGTAAACATTTCTTCTACAAAGATTTGAACTCAGGTTCTACGAGTCAACATGCCAAGCACGTTATTGCAACACCTCCATCAACATAGCAATACTCAGCATTCTCAATGTTTAAAACTAGTGGTTCCTTGCATTATTTCTAACTTAAACAATTTTCGAAAATTCACAGCATTCAATGAAAATGACATTTTTTAATCATCCTTTACTCTATCCAAGGAAAAAATTTGGAGTTGTTTTTAAGAAAACATTTTTTCTTATAAATTGTAGGTGGATGGACAAAGAATTGCGGACACTCAATTTTTTGGTATCGAGGATACACAAAATGTTTTTAAGAAGTAATTTAAAACACAAGAACAAAATTTATCGAAGTTTCTAATAACAGGGTCTGGTAATAAGTCTTTCTGTTGCAAAATCAGACTCTTCAGTGCACAATACTATCTCATGTAACAAAGTAAGGCAAGAATGTAAAAAGGAACTAATAACAAATGTTACCACTTATGTTTTGTCAAATGCAACACCTGCATACAAAAATGTACATAACACTGTACATTCCTATATAATTTTTATTATAAATAAATAAATAAAAAGGTAATAAATAAATAAAACTGATAAAAAGCATTAACCTTACTTTTGAGAAACTTCCTTACCATATGTAAATATCCTGGGTGCAGTAACCCTTACACTTCCCAAAGCACCTACATGATTGAGTACTGCACAACGATAACCATGGCACTGGGCGTAATGCACAAATGTTCTTATGTATACGCTTTCAGAGGTATTTCCAATTCCAGGGCATATTGCCAAAGTGAAATCATCTGTAAATAACAAATTAAAAATGTAACAAATACTGTATATGAACACATTCACCAACAGATCAGAATCCCCTCACAAATGTATTCATATTAGACTAAATAAAAAGTGATATTTTCATAAGACCACTCCTTTATTAATAACATTAAAAATTGATTAAAACAGGGTGTCAGGCAAAATAACAGATTTAATATATTTAAGGGTGATACCAGCAATTTTTTTTAATAATTGTGGAAAAGAATTGAAGGATTCCTTTACTGAAGAATCTTATTAAATAATTTATTAAAAATAAATCTTAAAGTACTACTAGTGAAATCTCATGAATGTAAAAGAAATATGACTGAATATAAATTTGCTACCAGCAACTTCATATAATATAAATATGTGGACTTACATAATTAACCTTTTTATGTTTTTTAATTTTTATAATAATAACAATAACACTAACTGTGGAACACATGTGTGTGCGTACACGCACGCGCACACACACTTTTTTCTTCACGGTACTAGTTCCCCCATGGTGCAGGGCCCATACATTTTCTCCCAATCACACATGATGGGTTCTTGTAAGTATGCGTGAGCCTTCCTATCATCTCTGTTATAACATCTATGATTATTATAAGTACTTGAGTAATTAAATATTGTTTTTGTCTTTCTATGTACAGTTCTCAAAATTGTCATGTTCGCAAATTGTTTTAATCAATTCATTCAATCAAATTTCAATTTTTTTTACACAATATCTTTACATTAATTTCTTCAATACACAATTTAATTACTCTTGCAATTTTTTTCCAACCATTTTTCTTGAAATTATTAAAAAAATTGTTGGATTTTCAACACGTTTTTATTCAAGGTAGACATGCAAGTGTACGCACGGGGCGGGGAAGGGGGGAAAAACAAGTGAAATCAAGTAAACAAAACTTACTATGAAAAAAGAAAACAGATCAGGCAAGACCCACTGTTAAGTCTTGTAAAAGAATTTCAATTTTCTCAGTTTTTCTGGGCGAAGGGTCAGGGGCACCCAGAGGAAACAAAAAGGCCTGGTTTGATCACAAGAACTGTCCCCTCCCAATACATGAATGGAAATAACCTATACCAGTTAACTTGAATAATAAGTAAATAATTTTTGTTTGTTTTGAATGAAACAAAACGAATTCAGGATCCCAATTAAGTCTGAGGTCAAGTTGTTCATGCTGTCCTGTTCTGGGAAGGATCATGTCCATTCTGGATCCATTCCATTTTGAAGTATGGAATATATGACACAAATATACAACAAATTAGTACAGGATCCTAAATAAAATTTTATTCTATTAGCTTTTCCCCGAACTGTCTAGTTTCCGAACAAAAATTAAAGAGAAAATTCCTTAATGGTGTTAAAGAAACTTATCTGTATCTCAAAATGTTCTCAGTAGCCTTAAAGCTTAATGGAAACATCAACCGATTTCAATTAAATTGTGAAAGTCAATTATTTTCTGCATCACTGGCTATGATCCGATAAATGAAGTACAAATTATCGGTATCTCTGCACACCAGGTATCTCTGCTAACAGGATACCGTCTCAACCAGGAGATGGTATAAATTCTCACTGGTCGGGTATGTGTGGTGATGTAGTGCATATGTGTGTGTGTGTGTGTGTGTGGGGGGGGGGGCATTGGCATTCGCATAGTATTGATCGGAGAAACAACGGAGAACTTCAGATCTGAGCAGCTGGTCGCCAGAATTATCTTCCAGACAGCGGCTGAATTCGACCAATCTCACCAGCTAGTGTCGAAAATCCGCCACTGTCGGAACTCGATCGGGAGATCTTAGACCTCCCGATCAGAAACGCCACAGCGGCAACAGTTGTTGCCGTAAACCACCTCAGCCGGTCAAAAATCAGACTGGATATTCGAACTTCCAACATTCTTTTTACCTTCATGGGATGAATCCAGCGGCTCATAAAGGTCGTAAGTCAAGGTGGTGCCATCTTTTAGATCCAAGTAACATCTTTCACCAATCGGCCAAGGGCAGCGAACACGTCCGATAATACTATGAATTATCGTTTGTACATGGCCACTAAATCCCCATAGTCGGGTAGGTACGTACCTGTAACAAACAAAACATGGAACATATTACTATGCCCTAGCAATTATGTAGGTAAGAGGGAATTCATGTACGGTGTAAGTGGTTATTGGTTAGATCATGCTCTTCTCAATTAAACATTCCGAAGGACCACTAATATTTCTTATACTCGTATTTGTGTGAAGATTCAGGTGGCTATGCTTTAAAAGACTGTAGTCGATATTCTAGCAAACCAAAAAGGAAGTGGGACCAGCTACAGTTCGGATATTTTTTTTATTCAGATCAACTAATTTAAAAGTCCACAATATGCAACGAGACCAGTGTATGTACTACCCCCTCAGTAAAGAGACATTCAAATGAAAAACAACCTTTTTTCCATTCATATTTTGTATTCATCTTCATGTTCATCCCGCATTTATTGAGTGTTTCACGGCAAGCCTATAGAAATATTTTGCGGCTCAGATAAGGTCTGAAGTCCCTCTATTCAGATGCCCTGGGTTCGATGGTCAACATTCAAATCCTATCCGGAGCATTCGTACCAATGGAATCAGGATAATTTGTAAGTCTCATTATTTCCGTCTAACTAACGTCTAGTCAATGTTGGCAATTCCTCCAAGAGGTGCATTTATTTCATTCTAAAAGCATGTAATTGAAAAAAAAATGAAAAGTTTCTCCATTTAGAATGATTTCAAGGTGCACACGAAAAACGAACTATTACTTAATCTTAATTTCTATACGTCACGCGATGAAACGTTAAACAAAGAAAAATTCGCCTTGACAATGAATTTGAAGTTTAAAACTTTCAATTCGCATTGCTTACAACAGAAACGGGCATCACTCGAGTTTCCTATTTACTTTCATCGCCTTGATCGTCCATTTTCTGGATGTGCTATAGTTGATCACTATCCACCAGCATTACATTCGTGATTAAAAGCAACTTAGCAACTCTGCTAAAGAACAGCTAAAAAAAAAGTTGGATTAATCTCTTAAGGGGGCGCCAGAGTATGATCGAACTATCGCCCCCCCCCCCCACTACCGAAATAGTTAGAAATTCAAATTATAAAACGAAGTGAAAGTGTAGCCTTTGATATTTACAAATTGAACGATACAATAATAAATACAATAGCAGATTTAATTTTTTTTAATTATTTGCGTCTACATATTTTAAAGCAAGGTTTTAAAAAATTATTATTTTAAACCTGTATTAAATATGAATTGTATTGTTAATAAGATTGTTAGAATGTATTTTAACATACTTAAGAATACCAAATTTTTTTACAAAAATACCTGGGAAGCACATATTTACTCTATTTGTAATATTAATCCACCCCGTTCAAAAGTGTGCTGTTCTTGCACATAAACCGCAGCCTAGGTTACATTAGTACTTGCAAGGGTTCACAGCATCTGCAACGCTACTGGAATTCACTGATCGTAGAGGTTTCATGGCGACCAAGAAAAAGGCGTATTATGATGAGAAACCGTGTCCTAAAACCGAAAACAATAGCCGCTTTTTTGCATCAAGATTTCGCGCAATTTTCGCTTTCCAACGTGCTCAACCACATGGCATTCCTAAACCTCTAATGTTAAATCGTCTTATTCATGCTACAGAATGGATCCACAAAGAACTTAAACAGAATTGTAAGAAGCGTTGAAAAGTAAAAGACTATTCTTAAAGTACTCGGTATAGGAAACACGAAATAGGAAACACTGAAATGCAAGTGCCAGTTGATGCGTTCCAATTTCCCATACGAGTTCACTGTCTTCACGTAGTCTTTTTTTTCCTTCCTTTTTTTCAGAACGCTCAAATTATGTTACACAAAATTGCATTAGTTGTGTAGAATGAGCTAGAGGCTCCAAAATGTGTTCTAAATACCTAACAGGGAAATCTGTCTCATGCTCGTTCATTCGAATGAGGATTCGAATGGAATTCGGAGAATTCGGAGAATTCAATTCGGAGAAAAGTTTATTCCGATAAGGCAAAGCGTAATATGCACGATTTATACGATTTTTTCAAGGTTAATTGGATAACATTCCAAACCAAGATCTATAGATTAAGAATGAACAACAATCACAGAAAGTTCTATGTTGATATTACACTTATTTCCTCAATCCTCAGATTCGAGGGTTGTTCGAATTGCTTCAACAATGCGAGTTTACCCCTTTTCTCCTTTTCGTTTTTTTCTTTGTTCACGCAATTCACCTTCTGTAATTTGTATGTAACTTACATCAACCACTTGTTCATTCTTCTCAATTAGGTCTACTCTACTAACGATTCCAATAATAGAACTTCCGGGAGAGAAGACAAGACTATTATGAAGCAAGAGAACTTCCTCTTGTACGGACAAGCTATTGTGATTTGGGACAATTTTTAACATATGCAGTCGCACTATCAGAACACCTAGAGCATCACCAATCAATCCCCCCCATACAAAGACAAAAAAAGCAATGGAGAGAGGGCGAACTGTTGAAAGAGGCAGAGGTAACAGTCACTGATCACTTAGGGCCGGTTTCACCAACAGCCGAGTAAAGTTGAGAGTAGTTACCCGAGAGTAACCATTCACTCCAAGATAGTAACTCTCGAGTAGAATATGAGCGTTTCACCATGCTTCTAAAGGGTTATTTTACTATCAGCTGAACACACAATATTTGAGAGCGATTCAAGAGGCTCTGAGCGAGAATGACGCTGGGAACCAATGCGGACCAACGTGAACCTTTGATTAATTCTTTTTTTCTATCATTCATTTCAGTTTCGGAGTTCTTGGCGTTATAATCTGGTATGCTGTTATGGTGGTTTGAGTTTGCATAGTTTATTTCCTAGTTTCTGCATCTTTATTTCTTAATAAATATTCATTCTTCTTCTCTGGAGACGAGTAACTATTTTGTTAGCAAAGCAGAAAAATCTAATTTGCAGTTCGTTTACCGATGGCGGTGCAAATGAATTTTCTGTAACTACGGAAAATGTTTAGTTCTTCAAATGTTGATCTCGTGTTTTTCTAAATTTTATTATTATGTGTTGTTTTATTTTTTAAACTTTTATTAATCTTTCAACTATTTGTAGTTAAAATGTTGGAAAGGGATTCTGGAACTCAAGAAAACGTGCGCAAATGATCTCCCCCATACGTCATATACAGTTTTTACCGAATAAATAAATTAATATTTCTTAGTACTTGTTGTCCCTGTAGTTATTATTTTTCCTTTTGTTGTCTTCGGTACGTACCTTTATTTCGTATCCACATGGGACAAAAAGAACTTTAGACGTTCGCTACAGTTTACAATGTATCTAATGGAGTTAAACAGCTGGTTTGGTCAAACATAACCTCATGACAAAAATCTCGATCGTCATAATTAAAACCAATCCATTCTCTCTCGTACCCTTTGTCTTCGCACTAGTGGATAATATTCCGAATCATTGCTGGAATCGTCTTCAAATACTATCATTCGTACTCGTCGAACCGTAACAGCACTTCGGAGGTACATGCACGTTGAAAACTGAATTTACTCCGTACTTTACCCAACAGATTTTCGCGGTGTAAAGTTACTCTCGAATTTACTCTCGTGTAAACGATTTACACTCGAGTAAAGTGTTGGTGAAACGCTCCAAGAAGTTACTCTCGAGTAAACATGATTTACTCCAGAGTAAACTCTTACTCTTTGTTTGGTGAAACCGGCCCTTATCAAATCAATCGCGCACGTATAAATTCGGCTGTTATTCCAGTCTCTTCTAGAATTAGAGTTAACAATAACTTGTTTCGAAAGAGAAGTTAAGGGCATAAATCAAATGCGAGTTAAATAACTATAAATACATATCGAAGCACATCCCAGCGAAGTAAAATTGCTTGTAAAAAATTCCACGTCACAGGAGGGAAGGTAACGGCAGTTTCAATTTGCTAGTAGGTTTGCGTAACGGTGGATATCTGCCTCATGTCAAACTTCCTTTGTGCACAAAATAAATGGTGAAACTACCTAGAATATTATCGCAATGTTGCAGCAACAAGTACATAACCTTGGGCATCGTGATACGCGCAAATTGTCAATGTTCAGCGCAAAAGGCGGTACGCTCATTTTTTATGGTGGCATACTCTACATTACAAAAGGAGATGCATGAATATAACTAGCACTAGAAATAACTGAACAAATCAACGGACATGTGTAAAGTTCGTGAATGTTCTATTAGATGACCTCGACGGCTGATGATGTGGCTAAAGGCAACGAAATGCCTTGAATCACTCGGATCACGTTCGGTTTTGTTTCTGTGTATCACAATTTCAAAACTTTGTTTTCACAACTTTGTTGTAACATTTCACAACAACATATTTACGACGCGGGGATGATATAACCGTTATAAATTATGCAAATACTTATGGCAGAATACAAAAGAAAAAAATTGTAGAGAGAAAGGGTTGGAAAACAAAAGTAAACTAGTGGTGGTACAACAATGTATTTTCTCACATTTTTTTCTTTCTAAATTTGCAGTTTTCGACAACTCAGAGAGGTCAACGAAAATTAGACCCAATCCATTCTTTTAAGCACTCCTCTCCTCGAAAAAAAATTGGAGCAGCTTTTGAGAAGAAAAAAAACGTTAATTTTTTTAATTGCCTATACTTTGCCCCAAATTAAACGAAAACTACTCATTAGCGAATATGAACCTCTTAAAGATCTGTCTTTGAGGAACAGATTTAGAAGAGAATTTAGAGAATAACAGATATAGTTTTAGAAAGACAAAAAAACTGCGCTTTTGCAATTTTCAAAAAATCTGGAATCTCAACGAACATGAGACCTGCATCATTCTCTTAAGCATCCTTTATGCTATCCAAGGACAAAGTTTGATCAACAAATTTGGAGCCATTTTTAAGAAAATTTTGAAAATGTTTTAGAGGCTTCATTAACAAGTACCCTTAAAAATCAAAATATCCGTTTCAAACTCCGAAAGCCTTGAGTTCATTCAGATCAATCGAGGAATATCAATTTCGAAGAACTCAGCTAAACAGTTTAGGCGCTAGCGTTGACCACACACGGACAGACGTATTGCCGTCAATCAATTATTCGGTATCGAGGACCCACAAAACGTGAATTCTGGCTTCCCCACGTGTTAGAGGATTTTTTCTATACTTAACAACAGGATTTCAACTTTTTCGAAATAAGAGTTTTCCTGCCGAAAAAGCGTCGTTTTCCAGCGCACGATTACATCCCAGTCTCTCTTACTAAGAACCTTCGGACGGGCGAGAAAGTAAAAGTGAGCACTTACAGCACTCCGTGCTCGTACTATTTGTACCGATTACGTAATATTTTACCAGTAGATGAACCCGTGTGAACCCGTAATGTTCCGCACAATACAACTCTACTGCAAGGGTCCTCCTCGCACTTGCGATTTGAGTGTTGTCTGAACGATACGCGTGGTTCGGTCAGCATTTTCCCGCAGGTTTCAACTGAGACGAAACGCTGCCGAGGTTGGTAGCGTTAGGTATGCTTCTCTCTCAACTTTCGTCATATTAGAGATGGAAACACGAAATGAACTAGTTTATTTGTGGCTTTGGAATCGCTGTGGAAAAAATTAGAAGTAATTAATACAAAACTAATGATTAGTAATCATGGTTGTGTTGGTGTGGTGAATGTGTACCACGTTCCTTATAACCTATGAGGTGTCCAACCTTAAAAAATATGTAGCTGTTTATTTGTATGTTTACTCTTCGAGTAGATGCAAGTTATGGTTATCGTTTTACATTAATTCCTTCTAAATTGCTTTCACCTGAACTGTATCAACATAAGAGTTTTTAGTACCTAACACGTGTTTTTTATGACCTTATATGATTTTTCCTGTTTTTTTCTCATCTTGTATAGCCCTAATCACAGAAATAAATTTTTCAAAACGTAGGCAAA